ATAAAAACTGGTAGTTTAAAGTCAATGAATAAAATAGAATATTTTGTGTTTCATTCCAGATTTGTCAACAAGACAAATAAAACCCTTTATTTTATTTTAGTTTGACAGCTTGGATTTTCCTCCTTTACTTCCGTCTCTTTATGCAGCAGTAGGACATGAGAAGAAAGTAGAGGAGTGTTAATGATGCAAAACAGAAAGATAAAAGTGCCATTTGATTTGAAATGATCATTTCTGTTACTGTGGAAAAAAAAAACCCAAATCTGATGACAAGTATTTTCAAGAGTTATTTTTGGTTACATGTGCGTTGAGCATTGGGTTGCCCATCAGTAACAAAATGAACAGTCAATATAAGACGCTTCCTTAATGTATGAGAGAGTATTTCCACGCCAATCTGTTACCTCAGCTTTTCCTAGACCTTTCTTTGAGACTTGTTACTGATGCTGGTGTGAGTATATCTTTGTTAGTCCCAGGGAACAACCCCACGGCTGCATTGCACAGACCCAAGAGCAGATGACCGAGCCCAGTGACCAGCCCACGAACCTTCAGACATCACTGGCGGGTCAGCACAGGAGGGAGTGTCATTTCCTCACTTGTATCTCCTGGTGCCCTGTGTCCCCTTGACTTGTGGTTAAACTGAGATATAATTATACTGGAGGTGTGGCTACCAAATGTGTTATTATAATTAGCAAGTCTTAGTGCTTCACAGGCTCTTTCTTAGCGTTCACTAATTAATCTTCCTTGCCCCGACTATGTCAGTTTATCTCTGTGTTGCAGTCGGTGAGACTGAAGCATGGAGGTTAAATGTCTTGCTTGCAGCCTGGAGCGGAGACAGTAGCTGTCAAGTAACTGCTTGATGAGAAAAATCCATCTCCTGTATTTCACAGTTTAACTGTGGCTCTTACACAGTTCTTTTTGGCAGCCTGACAAAGAAGAGTGAGGAGCAGCCCAGGGGTGGGGAACATCCTTGTCCTGTCCCTGCCCTGTTGGCCCTTTGATGCTTGGTCTTGCTCGAGCATCTTGCTACATTTTTGTTTCTTGGATATTAATTGAATATTCTGACAACACAAATTTCTAATGGAATGTCAAGGTTTCCGACCCTTGCTTTCCATTTAGTGTAAAGTCTTAGCTTTAGCTGCTTAATGTGTTGTTACTGTAGGTGTAGTACGCTAAGGACATGAGTGAGGCAAGACTTATGGAAGTGTTGTTCTCTCTATCATAGAATGATAGAATCACGGAATGGTTTGGGTTAGAAGGGACCTTAAAGACCATCTAGTTCCAATCCCCCTGCCGTGGGCAGGGACAACTTCCACTACATCAGGTCGCTCCAAGCCCCATCCAGCCTGGCCTTGAACACCGCCGGGGGGGGGGCCAGCCACAGCTGCTCTGAGCAACCTGCACCAGTGCCTCACCACCCTCATAGTAAAGAACTTTTTCCTAATATTTAATCTAAATCTCCCCTCTTTCAGTTTGAAATTGTAACCCCTCATCCTATCGCTACCCTCCCTGATCAAGAGTCCCTCTCCACCTCCCCTGCAACCCCCTTTCAGCGCTGGAAGGCCGCTCTAAGGTCTCCCTAGAGCCTTCTCTTCTCCAGGTTGAACAGCCTCAACTCTCTCAGCCTGTCCTCACAGGGGAGGGGCTTCAGCCCCCTGAGCATCTTCGTAGCCTCCTCTGGACCCTCTCAAGCAGGCCCATGTCTTTCTTGTGCTGAGGGCCCCAGAGCTGGGTGCAGCACTGCAGGTGGGGTCTCCCCAAAGCAGAGGGGGAGAATCACCTCCCTCGACTTTTTGGCCAAATTTCTTTTGATATCTTACCAATAAGTGGAGAAAACTAGGGAAGATTTAGGCCTATGACTCTCATCAAGACTTTATTATACTGAAAGACCTTCCATTTTGCTTAGCCCAGAGGCTGATTCTCAGATGGCCGAATTGGATAACGTGACTACTGCTGGTGGCACATTTTAAATATGTTCTTCCTTCACAAGCCATAAGACTGTTAAAGTTGCTTCTTAACATTTGTTCAAAACTCTGTGTTTAAAGTCCTTGTCATACAAGTTAGCTGCTGAAGAGCTCTTACATCATTCTCCACAGATAAGACTTAGACTTGTACCATAGTAGTTGCTCTTATCATCTCTCAGCATATGTAAAAGTATCTTCAACCGTAATAGAAATTGTGAGAAATTCTCAGTGTTACTAGCTTCTTACCTGAACTACACTTAAAATGTAGCACAACTCTGGAGATGCAACTTCAGCACATACCAAAAAGCATACACTAGTACCGCAAAGGAAACAACTCAGGGCATTGGTACAAAAACCAATTTTGTGAAACTACAGTCGGAGCATGGAGAAAAATGTTATTTGACATGCTAGATCTCACTGACTGCCATATTACTTTTACCTAACCTGTATAAGGGAGACTCATATTCAGAAGCACCTGAGCCTTTCCAGGGACATGAACAACTAAGTGAAGTGACCTAAGCTCTCCTTGAAGTCTGTGTTGAGAAGCAAGATCATCTAGGTAGCATTTCATCTCATGCTATTTCTTCTATTCCACATCAACAGAGATGCAGAATCTTTTGAAAACCACTATGAAAGTAAGAAGGTTAATGTCTGGATACCCTGCAGTAGCCCAGCAGGGTGCATGATGCTCCAGGGAGGCAATTCATGATGCAGATCTCTTCCAGCTCCTGCTGCTGCCATGCTCAAACACCATAGCTGGATATCCAGAGCACAAGAGCTGGCTCTTCAGGGAGGGAGCACTCTCAGAAGTCTCTGATAATAAAATCATTCCTCTTTAAATATTCATTGGCCCAGAGAGAAAGGGACGAAAGAGAGAGTGTGCGTGGAGTTTCAACACCCACCTCCTTGGTTGTAAGCAGAAATTAAATCTTGGAAAATATCACAGAAAACACCTGAGAGTTTTACCAAAATTATGTATCCTCCTGCAAGAGAACTGGGGTCATATAGAGTAGTATTTTCTGAGGAAAACATAGGTTTCTCAGAATATTGTCACCCATCTTTGGTTTGAATTATACTTTCTACAAATATTGCTGTGGTTGTAGGAGCCTTGAACGGTGGCACACAGTCATGATATTGAAACTGAGCTTCATGCAAGCAGAAAATCAAGGCTACCAGCTTTAGTCATTGACATCCTGGAAACCATAAATTGCCTTAATTTGATGATATGCATTGCTTTAATATGACAGTAATTTGGCCAACAGAGACAGGATGAAACAATGGAGGGGAAGAAACCACTACCAAACTGTTTCTATATGTAGTGATTATATATTCATCCAGTATTAGCTAAGAAATGCTGTGCAAGCAAGTGTTAAAATCAGGCCAGGATAGGCCCACAACTTTAATATCTTGTAAAAGGAGGAGCCCTTTATACAGGCAGCAAAATGAAAAACTGATGCAGCTGAATGTCTGGGTATGGTTCACCCTCTTGTGTTTTTCACCAGAATTGCAGTCCTATGGAGAAAAATATTTTTACTGATCTAAAATAGGGAGGGAAGGTGATAAGTAGAATCAGTCCTGCTCAGGACTGGTGTATGTGACTCAAGACCTATGGGAGACCAGCACCCATCTTGAGGAGCTGCTGGGGGTCTGGTGGGACACCCAAGTGCATCCTGCATGGGACCAGGGTGTACCACTTGGGAGAAGTGTCAGGAGGAAGGTTAGCAGGAAGGAGCTTCTCTGTTTAGTGACAAGATGCTGTTGCAGATGTTTGCTCATTTTTTAACATCTATCAAAGTTTATAAACTGTAAGCAAAGAGCTTCTATTTCCTCTGTACCTTTTTTTACTAAAGTTTGATTTACTAAATGTCAGATAAAAGCTGTAACATGTAAAAGAATAAAAAAATCTGTAAGATAATCCTGGAATACTGTTTTATCAATGTAGTAATACTGACAATGTCTAAATAGGCATGATTGTGATAATGCCTCTCACTAAATGGATCAGAAATTTTCTCCAGGTAACCAATGCCACCGACAGGTAACAAATCTAAGTCCTCAGTTCTGGGTCAATACAGACACACAGACCTTTGAAGTCATGGCCTGTATTGTAAAGGGCCTGTGAAGATATGAAATGAAAACTTTTACCCAAGGAAGTGTATCATTTGAAGCAATACAGAAACTACCATGGCACTCTGACCATCTGCAGCAGATCCAGCTAAACTTCCCCCTATCCAGGAGCTGGTGACTTATCTGCAAATAGAAGTGGGAGAAGGCACGTCTAAGGCCTTGAGCTGAACTTAATCCTCTTGCAGACATCCTAAAGGTGTGCACTGCTAGGAATTTGCAGTAAGACGGTTCCTGGGAAATTCTGGAGAAAATCAGATATTTTGATGTGGATTTGGGGGGACTTGGATCTACAGTTTTTCTTTTTTAAGAAGCAATTTTTTCTACATGCTCCAATATGAATTCCAAGCGAGTGTGGGACTTGAAAATATCAAGTATCAAATATCTCAAAAGATCCTTGAAATATCCATAAGGAATTTTCCAAATGAAAAAATTAAATTATAAATAATTTCAATGAAAAGCTCTGTTTGTGAACGAATTGTAAATCATGTATTTATTGACCAGGACTACATTCCATTGATAATCAAAGAGAAGATAACAGAAGCAAGTCAAGTGGCATTTAACATATTTTTCAAAGAAAAAAAACCAAAAACATTTTGAAAGTGTGTTTCCCGTTAAAAACCAATGAATTGGTGGAAGCTCCACTGGAAGGAAAACCACAAAGGAACACATTAGCAGCTTAAGCATGATTTCTGCAAAGTCTAAATCAACATCAAAGATTTTTTTGAGCTACTAGACTTACTTAGGACTGAAATAATGGTGAGATTTCAGAAAAAAAAAAAAAGTAAACTATAGGTCAGTCTGAGCTGATGCACTGAGAGTGAACACACTTCACAGTGAGTTCTGCTCTTTCCTCGTAAGTTGCACAGCAGCTATGATGACATCCACCAGGACATTATATGATTTCAGTGGTGCACCTACAGCTAGCAGAACACTTGTCCTTCACCAGTGCGTTGTCACAGCCAAGCGAGTTTTTCAGGCTTTCGCAGTTTGCAAAGAAGTTGTAATACTTGCAAGGATTGGCTGAAACACAAGAGATAGAAACAAACCCATGAAATATTAATTGAAAACCAAGGCCTGGTCTGATACTTCTGCGTTTTCCAAAAAACTGCAAATTTTCAAGTCTGTATAGTCTTTGCACTTTTGCTTTGCTGTTAAAATTGCTTGAATATTATAGAAAAGGGAACGCAGGCAGAAAGGTGGTATCTTACAGCACCCATCTCTCTATATGCTTTGACTTGCTCCACGTGGAAGCCTGCAGGACCCAGGGGCCTGTGCAGATCTTCACAGATGTGTGAAGCCTGATAAATCTGTTTGTACCCTTAGATAGAGATGTACATTAAGACATTTAGTCTTGAGCTTTCCAGAAGAGGGCAGCAGCGGATTAACGGTGTGATAGTGCACCTATCGCTCAACAGCAAGGCAATTTACCCGTTATCACAGGATGGTTGGCGTTGGAAGGGACCACTGGAGGTGAACTGGTCCAACCCCCCTGCTCAAGACCGTGCCTGTTCTGATGGGATATTTAATCACTGTTATTTCTGGAGGGAAATGAAAGGGGCAGTTCTGGGATCTTTCATCCAGATTAGCAAGAAGTAACTATACAAAAATAAAATGCCGCAAAGGAACAACATTATTAGCTGAAGTAATGCAATGTTTGTTGTAAGGAGGAGAATACATTCACTTACTGCAAAGCCCTCTGTCACAGTGACCGGGACAGTCTGCACATTGTGGTCCACTTTTGTAAGGTGTATCTATTTGCATTGGATTATTTCCTCTGAAATTTGAAAGAAATACAACACAAAACAAGATCAAAGTGCAGTTCTGAGCCATTAAGATTAATATATGTTATTTATTGCAATGAAAGGCATCCAGAAGTTTTTTGATAACATTATTTTCATAGACAGTTGTGTTTTAGTTTCAAATATTCATAGAATAGAAGAACTTTGATTTTAAATAAGAGGGACAAGAAGGTTTAGAGAAAGAAAATGGATTATTTGCATTTGTATAGCATTATCAGTTAACAAAAATCTCTTACATGCTTCCTAGTTCTGCTTTTCTAATGGCTTTCAAGTGATTATCTTATAAGGAAATAACCTCAGCAGATGCCTTCTAACATGCAGCTGTTTCAGATGTGCTCTTTACCTCTGTGAATGTTCATTTGCTGTTGGCTTTCACTTTGCATCTGAGTTTCTTGTTTGTGGTCAAAATTATAGGATGATTTGTGCATGATGTCTGATTCTGACAGAGATAGACCTTTCTTTGTTCATATGCTAAAATTTCCCTAATATCTGTTTTAATGTTAAATAAATATTACTATTTAACCTGGTATTAAACCTACAATTCACATTAGTATTTTTGAAATGATAAATGGTTAAAATAAACTGTAATAATTTTATCCATGATCAATGGACCACAGGAATTTTTGAAAACATATTCATAATTATCACATGTTATGAGTAAAAAGGCGGTACGTACGCAGGACAGTATTCGCAAACATAAAAGTACTTAAATGTCTTCGTAGGACAGTGGGCAACTGCACATCCAATCTGGTAACTGTTGTACCAGATCATCTGTAGAATAAAAAATAAACACATTATTTCGGAGTCATGTTGTATTGATTTGTGATCAAAGAGCTCATAAAATAACAGACCGATCCAGTAGATAATTTTTTCTTTCATTTTGTCTATTTAGATTTGAAGTTTACAGTTTAGCTGTCAGAAAGAATAAATAGAAAAACGAGTTAACCATGTTCTTCAGTTTCAAAATGTTTTTCAGTGCAGTTTCTGGAAGGACAATAAAGCTTAAATTAAAATATTTGAATCATAGATATTTTATTTTGATGTTTCTTAATCAGGTATTTTAATTCCAATATAGAAAATATTTATTTCTAAATTAAAGGTATTGAATTTTTTTTCTATAGAATAACATTTCCTTTCTGGACAGCTCTTCCAAAATACTGATTCTATTGCCTCAGAATCAGACTAAAAAGTGTGTTAATTTATTATTCTTCTTTGGATCAGAGTGTGAACGATAGCTAATGGTTTGATGACAGTGATCATTTTTTTTCTGATGAATAATATCTGCCAGCTCCCTTAAGTGTACTCCTGTAATTCTAGTGTATCACTGCAGCTTGTTTCAGTTCTCCGTACCTGAGTATAGTTCTCGATATCGGCATTTTTTGTGGTTGCTCCACGTCCGTACTTGAAATTGGAGGACTGACTCTGCCAGACTGCAATTATTTCAGGCCATGTTCTTTGGTTAGATGACATTAATACATTCTCACCACAGACGACACCTGAAGTAGTAAGGTAAGTCTATTTTATTACTTCAGAGAGAAGCAAACTGTAGTGTAGGAGTTAGGACAGAGGGGATATAGCTACATCCTAAAAAAATCTCTATGCCAACCTATTTGCCCTGTAATTTTAAGAAGAGAACAGCACACCTGATCCTATGAAAGCTGCAGGAAATGTTACTCTGATTTTGGTGACCTTTCAGTCACAGATACTTACTGACTACAAAATGCTACACAAAAATATCTGTACTTGGTCATATCAACAGTCAGCTATTGTGCTGTCTTGTCTCCAGCAGAAGCCAAATGTGGGCACTTCAAGAAAGGTACAAATACAGGGCAAGTTCATAGCATCCCCCTCTCTAAGGTTCCAATAGTCTGTCTTTCATGGTTTTTATCTGACAAAGATGATGTTTTTGTGTTTAATAACCCTAAAAAGATATTCTACAATAGAATAAAGTTACTTTTATTTCTAGTTCACATGCACAGGGGTTGTCTGCAAATTGGCATTAACATCAGCTTAGGCTCCGTATTTGTCATATACCATTAAGGACTCTCTCCTTGCTTGGACTGAATGTCATCTCACACTTATCTGCCCATTTCTGAGCCATTTCAGCTGCTTTCTCACTCCACACCTGAAAGACACAAAGGCAGAAATATCCAGGTCACAGATAGCTTGGTGCAGTCCACGAGAATAAAAAAAATGGGGAGCGACTTGGGCATCATGCACTGAATGCTCCCGTGGTCCTCAACAGAAAGCAGGGGAGTTGTGCCTGTTTACATTACTGGGGCATGGGCACCACATCTCTTCAGCTCTTATATATTGCAGAGCAGGTTATTCTGCTTGGTATCACACAGTCCTGATCTCCAGATGGTCCTGATTAATAGGAATTTTAAAACATACTGTTGCTTTATTTTGGTGTTGTGCCTGAGTTAACTTTGCAGGGCGCAGTGCACCAAACGCCCTGAAACTCGTTTTCAGCCCAGGTGCAGCTGAAATGCAGTGACAGACACCAGCTGATCTTCGAACCTGGGGAATGTTTGCAAGTCTCAGCATGTAGACTTAGCCATAAAGCATGGACCAGCTCTTCTGCTCATGGGATAGGGATAACAAAGAATATCAGGGGTGACGGGGTGGGAGCAGAGATGGGCAAAGCAAGCTCAGCTGAGGACCAATGGCTAGGCACATCCAGGGGTTTTTTGCCTCTCTGGCAGTGTGTGATTCAGAAGCATGCTGCTGCTCGTGCTCCTGCTCCACCTTTGCTTTACTTACTCTTTCCTTCATCCAGGGCTTATGTTTCTCTTCTTCTAAGGGAGATGCTTATCCCATTAAAGACTAAAGAGTGTTACCCATAATCCAAGGGCCATCACTGCATTTTGTACCTTGTTCCAGTTTAAATGCTTTCCCTGAAAGGCTTGCACTTGCTGTCTATCGCAATGACACAAATACAAATAACACAAGGCAAGAACTTGTGATTCCCTGTGCAGGCTGTGTTAACGTAGATTTGACAGCAATAAATAGATGTGGTTGGGGCAAACCTGTGTTCATGGTTCTTGTCGACAAATAAGCCTAGGCATAGAACAGTTCCTATGTTGCTTAACTGAATTTTTCTAAATGGAGAAACTAAGACATGTTGGTTAGGACAGAGGTTTTGAATAGCACTTGTGGCCCATCCTGAGACATTTGCGATGAGTTTACAAGTGCTTGCAGCATCAAGATGTGCAAAATTAAGCATGAAGCCTGCAGAAACAAAGGGTTAAAATTCTGGTTTCTTCATCTCAGTCCCAGAGCACCTTGCCTGCCCTCTCTGTTCACTGAGCGTGGGCTGTTTAGAAGGCTACAGTCTTCCTAAAGACGTGGAAAGCGGGATAGTTGCAATGCACAGCTTACCATCTTCACCATGTTAGCGGCTGTGGGAGTCACAGATCTCCGTATTTCATTGTGTTGGTCAAGGATCTCATTTTGGTCTTGCAACTTAAAATGAAGAAAGAAAGAATTGTCTATTAGTTCATGCAGAAAACCCTGGAAAACGATAACAACGAATGTTCCACTTATAAGAAGTTTAATAAGCAAAATAAATTATGAGCTTTGTGTCAAAGTAAAGCTTCTTGGAAATTTCCAACTTTCCTTTATTCATTCTTCTATTCTTATAATTGCTGATTCTTTTTTTTCTTCCTTCCTTGATTTGAACTGGACTTTTCATTAGCAGATGTGACCCTAAATTAAATTTGTAGATAGGAATTCTACCTTCAGATGTCTCTACATCAAACATGGAGAAAGCTTAGCTGTGGAGCCAAATCTCAAGACTGGCTTTGACCTCTTGTGTGCACTAAAAAAGCCTCTAGTTCTTGTCAGTTGTAAGATTTGGAAGTATAAGAAGCTGGATCGGAATGTAAGACTGTTTTCAGACCATCTTCTGAAATAACTAAGTTCAAGAAAGCAATGAATGATTGAGATTGTTTCTCACATAGTGATGTCAGGTCCTGAATCCTTGCAGAGAAAAAGAGTTGCAATGCTTTCATTAGAGTTTCCAGACTAAAACTTTCCTCCGGAAAAGATTCTTCCTACTTAATGTCTAAAGACGAGACAGTCTAAGCTAGAGACCTTCACCTTCTTTGTCATTATTGGAGAGTGCAGAAGTAACTCATCCCACAAAATCTGAACTCCTTTTTAGGACTGGAAGAACCATTCTCTAAAAGTACTTCTTTTTCTTTTCTTTATTTGCAGAGAGAGCCTGACAGAGATCTAGACAACTAATACTTTCATGTTTAAGTCAGTGAGATGAGTTCTGCCATTGGTGTGACGATCTCTCTTCCAGGCACTGGTTCATCTTATTTAATTTTAGATATCTGTACCATAGATGTAAATATCTAAAAGTCATCTCAGTTTGCCTTTATGGTCGGCGAGAAAAGCATAAAATGAAAGAAACTAAATTCTGAAATGTCTAAATAATATGAATGAATCCTACTGCTTCGCCTTCAGAACTCAATTCTAGGTTTTAAAGGCGTGGTCAGTGACTTAAAATGGTCCGTAATGCTATTTGAAGTTCCCAGAAAACCCTACCTAGCTTCAGACTATTGCTTCAGAAAGGCATGTCTGTACAGCTGCCCATGAACGGCTCAGATACTCTGGAGAGTCTCAAGCTGTATTGACATTTCTGTTTGGGCAACTGAACCTACTCCAAGAGGTATCATACATCTTGTTTAACTTAAGACATTTACAGTGCTAGAAATAACACCTCAGCCAGTTATTTCAGGCTGTTGCTATGCTCAGGTGAAGGAAACAAGCAACTTAGATTTATTGAAGAAAGAGACAATTGGCATCCCTGAAGCACTTAATCCTTTTCATTCATTAATAAGCACACCTTGATAAATAGCTCACATTCAAGTCCCTGCATAGTAAATATCTACATCTTACAAGACTAGTCCTCTCTAAGGAGAGATGATGAATAGGTTTCTAATACTTAGCTAAACTATTTTATAATAGTTTCAGTTTATATTTTTTTGGAAACTGTATTTTTAAAATTAATATTGTGAAAAGAACAGTATTTTGATAGGTAGAAGAAATATCTTAATACCAATCTTTATTGTGTTATGTTAACATGTTAACAAGAATTTCAACCTTGAATTCTAAAGCTCTAGAGGTCACTAGACCAGACTAAGCTATGTCAGATATCTATACAACGCGCTCAGATATGGTTCTTTTGCATAGATGAATGCTCCTACCTTTCCATGAGATTGGTGTATTAAAATAGCCAGGAAAATGGTTGCAGCTGTTAGACCCATTTCTATGGAGAGAAAACAAAAAAGAAAACCCCAAATCTATTAATTTCTGTTGCATGAAGTTTGTGGTGTAGTGTGGTATGGAAGCAAGATACAAAACTGTTGCGAAGCCAAACCTGCCACAGAGAAGATTATTTTAGTTGATGCCTAATATGGTTGGAAGTGCTGAAACTGTGCAGATGAGTGTATATTGGTGCATGGGCACCACGCTCTCATACAGAGAGATGACTCCACCTTGCATTGAAGCAGGGACCGTAAGTAGCATAAAGTTGCATGGTTTTTCTAACAGATGGATCCACCCCCTTTTGACTTCTTTAAGATATATTGAATTTGCAGCATTCCCTTCATCTTTGCCTCCTTGTACTAAAAAAAAGCCCATTAATTTGTTCAGTAGGGTCAAATCAGTGTCCTGCTCAAGCAGGCATCATCTGTATTGGGAACAGGTAGTGTGGAGTGGAGCACTGAACTCAGCAGTTGTCTATGTTCCTTTCCTGCTCCCTGTTTCCTCATCAAATCAGCATCATAATATCTCCAGTAAATGGTGATGATCACCCGCGAGTTACATCTTACCCCTAGACATAAATAAAACCTTAATGAAATAATATTGGCTGATGCCTTGTAGGAGCAAATACCGCGGTATGTACACAGTTTTAAACCCACTCATATTCATGGGATATTTTTTTTACATCTCAGAAGAAGCAAACGTTATGGTTTTTTTTGTATTATACAGAGAATATATGTTTGAGAATATGCGCAAAATCATGTCTTTTGAGCTGGTAAAGAATGAAGATGTGGCCAAATGCCAAAGAAGAGTAACTGAGCTCAACAGGTTGTTTTGAAACAGACTGAAGCAAGCAAGGAAAACAGAGCTGGCCTCTGAGAAAAACACACAGTGAGCAGTACAGGTCGGTGGTAGAGATCTAGGAAATCCTGCTTGGAAGGGAAACTATTGGGCTAACACCTGTTAAAACCATAAATATACAATGAAAATATAAACAATGCACTAATCCGTCTCTGCTAACTGATTAAATAAGCAAGTTGGTGTTAGGTGAGAAGAATAAACTAAGCGCTTTCACTTCTGACAGAAACTGAAGGATAGATTCACATCTTAAAGAATTAACAGCAAGTTACCAGGGTCTTGGAAAAACAGCTTGCATTTCACTCTTCTTTCACTGAATGAAATTAATATTTCTTGTGCCTAGAATGATGACTTGGAAGAGATAACATTTGTAGCATTAATCATACCCTGTTCATTATTTAGCACCTGAAATTACCTCTAGATTTTTGATCTGATCTCTCTCTTATTTATGTCGGGTTTATGTTACTGAAGTCAGCAGATTTACTTGCTATGTAGTCCTGCATGAGTGAGTCAGCCTACATCTATGGTGTCAGAAATTGCTGCTTATTATAGGGAAAATAGTGGTAACAATAAAAAGAATAATGATGGGGGTCCAGAAAGACTGTTAGTTGGTGTGACTCTTCCATTTATAAATAGTGCAGCAGCTCCAATACTTTCATCTTCACTGAGGAGCAGGTTCTATACTTTGTGGTCTGTAACTGGGCACAAACAGGTTCATTGTAACCCTCATCTGGGGTTAAATTTTCAACTAAAATTTAGCCCTGCACAGAGGGCCTGGGAAAGGCCTGCCAGAACATGGGAAAATACAGAGTTTTTCAAATGTCTTGCTTTGTGTGTGAGACCCCTTCACTGTTCACATTTTATGAGTCTCCCACACTAGTTTGAGTATTCCAAAGCACATGTCACTGTAGCAATACTCTTGCCCGTATTTAGTTTTGAGGTTGAGACTGACTTCCTCTGAACTTAGATGCTATTAAGTACAGGCATAGCTAGAAACATTAATCATTTTTACAGCACAGGAAAGACTTTCCAATAAGATTGGAGCTCAATCATCCAGAAAACATAATTGTGTCATGTGACTTGTACACCCAGCCAAAAGATCTTAGGGCTAATGGTCACAGCAAAGTGTTCATGGACAAATATAAGGCATGAGTCCATGTATCAGAAGGTGGCAATCCAGCCACTGTTGGAACAAAATAACTTATTTATTTTTAGATGCTCAGCTATGCAGAGTTTCAACCTACCTCTAGGGTGATTAAACCAAAGATGAAAAGTGAATTCTCTTTTTGCTTGCATGGTAGCAAAGCAAGAATAAGTTATCTGAGTTCAGACCAAAAGCTCTTGGGTTAGTCTGTGCAATGTGCTGTATACTTTTATGAGCTCACAAGGTAATGAGCTCAATATATTGATTCCCAAAATGTACTAACAAAAATGTTAGCACAGCATTGCCATGCAGAGATTGAATCCAATGGGCTTCTGGTTATGTTATGGTGTCATTGTGCCTGGGCTAAGAAATATTAACTCTTAGGAAGTCTATTCACCCTATGAAAGCACCAGGAGAATGTGATCTGGTGACTATAATGCTCCTGATACTAGGCAGGTTGCAGCTAGATTGATCATTTAATTCAGTACTGTATATTCCATTGCACGGTACAAATCAACAAGACATATCCTATCACACCAAACACTTCATGTCATTCAGATATTCAGTCTTTAGCTTGTTTTTCCATGCTTGCATAAGGAAATCACATGCATGAGGTAGAGGCAGGGATCTCACTCATACTAACGAAGAATAAAGTCTTAAACTGCAGGGATATCTTTGGCCCCTGAAGAGTTACCTTGTCCTTACATGTGGAAACAAGATCTCTCTGGGACTCTCCAGGAAAGTGCTACAACTGGAAACATAAAACACTTCCAGATCCAGAATTAAACTAGATTAAAATAATACTGCACATCATTGATTGTCAGACTGTACAATCAAATCTGTCCCTTGGAGTAAATACATGTGGCATGACTTTCAAAGTCAAAAGTCGACAGTTCCCAGATACAATTATCCTTCCATGTCAATAGTATTCAGTCCACTAAATCACTTCTATGCTTCTGAAAAGACAAATGCTAGCAATGCATTTTTCGCTAGCTCTGCTTGAAAACCAGACATCTCGCGCAAATTTGATTGAATGTTAAAAAAAAATAAAAATCTATAGCTAAAAAGATAGAAAGAAAGTTCTATTTGAAAAATGCAGTCCAGGCTTTTTGTGTTTAGTCCTGGTGCTTCACTTCTCAGAAGAGCCTTTGTCCTGCCAGCTGATAAAGCTTTCAGGACATAGCAGGTT